ATGTTATAATAAAATTTGTAGTGGAATTGGGGACAGGAGTCAAGTCCCTTCACTTCCATGGACTTTAATTTCTTCCTCAGAGACATTATTTTCAACAGAAGATGGCTTCTTCTGTATCTTTTTGTGCTTCTGAGACAATCTTATTTAAACCCAAGGGCTGTACTCAGTGCTGGTTGATTCTGGAGTTTGATCTTCAATTGTGAGGATGATGAGAGATCTCCATACTTTGCAGAGTAAGGAAACTGTTCTGTAAGCTGTGATTATGTGGAAACCTTCTGGCTTTTCGATATCTCCCAGTTGCCTTGGTGTCTGGATATGCTCTGGGTTTTTTTTTTTTTGTTGTTCTTTTTGGTATTCAGACATGGTATTTAATATGTGGGGGTAGACCAGATGTCTTTGGATTGTTTCTGGAACACTTTCTCATTAGGCCCAGGTCCTTTCTGGGTTACAGATAGAGAACTTGATTCAAGAACTTTGGTAGTTTTGTTTTATTCTTTAATTTATCCTTCCATTTTTTCATAGATCAAACACAATATTAGGGAGAATAAATCACAAAAATGACATTGACCTTGTTTTCTGTGTATCAAAGAACAATACCTGATATTTGTTGACCCCTGAAATATTTCCTGTCAAGCATTGACCATTTGCACATATTATCTCATTCAGCCTAACACCAGCCTTCTGAGACAATAGACTTTTTCTATTCCTACTTCACAGATAAGAAACTGAAAATCAGCAAGCTAAAAGCAATTTTCTGAAGATCACATCAAAATATTCTAAGCAGAGGAGATGAGACTTACAGCATTGAAGACATTATCAGTCAAGAGTGATTTTGTTTTACCGTAGGGTTCACTTTTGATATTTTACTTTCTGTATTCTATGGTTTGACTAATGTATAATGACACATATTCCCCCATTATAGCTCAATTATCCCCAAACATCTCCTGTGTTGCCTCTACTCAGCACCCTTCCCACCCCAGTTTCTGATCTGGGGCATCCCCAGATCTTTTAGTCTGTATAGACTTGCTTCAACCAGAATGTTTTACAGTTGGAATCACACAGAGTGGACCCTTCTCTGATGGTTCTTTTAACACAGATATACAAAGTAAAGTTTTCTCCACAGCTTTTCATGGCCAGATGACTCACTTCCTATTAGCTCTGAAGGTAATCGTCTCTTTGTGGCTTCTCCATAGTTTTATCTTTTCCAGAACTTTTGGTTGAATCCAAGTATTGGTGGTTCTGACCACAGCTTCTGTAAGTTTTTATATGAACGAAGTGTCTTAAAATATTTGGTATGGGGATACAGTTGTCAAGCATCACGGATTTGATTTGAGCCTGGGCTTGTGATTCTCATGGGCAGAAGCAGATAGGTAGACATTTTGGAAATAGAGAAGAGACTAAGCAGGCATTTCTGAGCATTTTGTCAGGCAAACTGCTGGGTGGTTAACATTATTTTCCTTAAACACTGTTAGTTCTTGGGGCATTCCATTTGCAGTAGGAAGCCTTATAGTCATCTGTATAAAAGCTGAGAAATGGTTTATGTCTTTTCTAAATTCACAAAGCCAGAAAAGCCACAATTTGAACCAAATCTGAGGCCAATCAATCTGCTCTTTGTCTTGTCCTATCTGGTTCTTCATCTAAAGTGAAGAGGATTAAAAAAAAAAAAGAGTTGATTTAATCATAATATGCAAAAAGGTATGTGTAAAGCTTGAGAATGAGGTTGCAGCCAGGCCAAACATGACATTGGCTTTGGAACTATGGGGATGTCTCTGAACTTTGTAGGAAGTCTCTGGGTAGTGTGGGAGTGTTTCTGGATGTTGTAGGAGTGTTTATGGGAAGTGTGGGAATGTCTCTGGGCAGCTGGCAGCTGGTGCTGAGCATCAGGTGTGCAGAATGAGAGCCGAAGTTCTGGGAGCAGGAAGGATCACCTTTCTCCAGTTCATAAAATTACCAGATTTCACTAAATTGTTGTTTCTAAGAGACTTCTGAGGATATGCAAATTTCCACTGTAGGTGACCTTTGGGAGAAGGAACAGGATATCCGGGGTTGCAGTAGATCAAACCAATGGAGGAAGTCACATGTGCTTTCCTGGCTGCCTCTCAATAGATAGATATCTCAGTCCCAGAAGATGCCCTTTTGGTCATTGCTACCCCTACAACATCCAGGCAACAAAAAGATAGAAATGGAGACACACACACACACACACACACACACACACACACACACACACACACACACACACACACACACGAGAGAGAGAGAGAGAGAGAGAGAGAGAGAGAG